AACAGAAAAGTGGGTGATGGGAGACGTTGGACAGTGTAAGACATGATAAGATAATAATAATTTATGAATTATCAAGGGTGAGGGAGGGAGGAGGGCACAGAGGGAGGGGGGAAATGAGGAGCTGATACCAAGGGCTCAAGTAGAAGGAAAATGTTTTGAAAATGATGATGGCAACAAATGTACAAAAGTGCTTGACACAACGGATGTTACGTATGGATTGTGATAAGAGTTGTACAAGCCCCCCAATAAAATGATTTTTTTTAAAAAGTATGTTTAATTATGTTTCATGATCAAAAGGAATTAAGAAAGGGCATTTGTCCCATCCATAACATTCAATAAAAGCTCGGTAAGTTTATCTTTTCCCCAGAATATGTAAGTATTCTACTCAATACAATTCTACTAAAATTTCTTCCTAATTTGGGAAAAACAGAAACAAATAAATCACCAAAACATTTTAAGCCTCATTTATCTGAGTGCAGATTCTCAAAGGGCAGCTTTTTATGCATTATAATCCCTCACTTTCCCCCACATTCTTCTAAACCATTTCCTAGTTGATTAATATGAACAGTAGCATAAATTCAGCCTAAGAAGGTAAAGCACATGGAAAATTACATATGTAAAGCAAAACACTATTCAAAGATTTAATATTAATGGTTTTGACCATAATTACTATACCATGGGCTTCAAAAGTTTGTGGGGGGGAAATTAAATGAAAGAATAATGGAACTTTCTCACTTTTTTTTCGAAACCTCCTGTATTGGGACCATTTAAAAGGCACATATACCAAAAAAAAGGAAGGCACAAATACTGGTTTGCAGATGTTACGTGCTGGAGAGTGGGAAGTCACTTGGCTATGAATGTCCAGCCAACACCCAGCATCTGCATCTCAACACAGTTTGGCTATTCTTTACTTGCCACCACACATAAGTAGCAGTATGATTAAAACATGCATACACATACACACACACAAAATTCTACTTGTGGAAAATTGTCCTATAAAGGCTATGGTTCGTGCTATGCTAGGAGTAAAAGCCAGAAAGTCCCAATTTTTTCTTTTTTTTTTGAAAGTCCCAATTTTCAGTAAACTAAAAAGATTATCCAATTGTATGGCTATTAGGTTCTAAAACATGTACAGGATAGTAAATTCTCTACTCTTAGGAATAACTTAAGAGAATAATTTGTGAAACTGGTTTTGCAAGTGTTCCAGAATTGATTTTCATAAATTTATGTGTGAATTTCACCCCACGCTTACAGTTATTTAAGATCACTTACTATTCAGCTATTCCTTTAAATTTCCATTATATAATTTGTGAACAAAAGAATTTAACAGTGGTATTTTCAAATACAGCTATTTAGGAAGATGGGAAAATCTGCCCTTGTGAATGAGAAATGCTGACTTAAAAAAAATCTCATTGACGGTTTATACTATTCTATCTATATGTTAAAAACGAAAGTCAATTTAAGTATAACCCTTTGTAGGCATTATTAGAGGCCGGAGAAAATAGCAGGCTCCAGAAGTCCCCCTGTGTCACTGACGCACTGATTTACTATGACTGTCCCTGTGGCCTTGAGTGAATCCCCTTCCACAGCTGGGTTTCCGAATCTGTAAAATGAGAGTGGTATGGTTCAGTGATCCCAGAGGTTGATTACCTGGAAACTACTTGAGTCCATGTCATCGCTTCGTTTAACAATGAACAAACTTCATACAGCCCATCCATGTGGACATATATGACTGCTATTTTATATATTAAGAACTCTCATCTCTAACTGGGTTCAGGCTAAATAAAAGGTGAGGGAAAGCTGGAGACAAACTCCCTAGTGCACAGTGCCCTGCATGAGCAAATCTGCAGGAGAGAAGAAACTCCACCCAGTGCTGGCTCACATCAAAGCCCAAAGGAGACTTGACACCACTCTGCCACAAAGAAGCTCCACATTACCTAGCCTGGCCCCAGGAGAACAGTTGCAGGCATAGCACTTGGGGCGTCTGATCTTTATTCTGACCACAAGCCCGAAGTCAGACCATCTTGTGAGTTTTGACAAGAAAAAGAAGGCACTCACAATCCGTCTGTAAATAAAACTAATGACTAACCAGGGGGTTCTGAAAAAAAGTTAAACTTAGCAAGAGGAAACTACACGACATGATAAAACACAACAGAATCTTGGTAAACTGATTAGCCTCTTAATAAATAGTACTTACAGGGAAAACTGTTTACGGGAGGAGAAAGTCCAGTCTTTCTCCTTCAGATCTGCTGATGGTTTCAAACTGCCAACCATGTGGATCGCAGATCAACATGTAACCACTATGCCCCCGGGCTCTTTCTATTTATATAGCTATGTGCTCCTAAATAGTATAAAAATACATAATGAGGTCATAGAATCTTCCATATTTTGTGGTTTACCTTAGCTAATTTATAAACTCTGGAGTTGATTAATGAACTAAAAATATCTTGTAGGTCTGCATAGATTAAATTGTGTTCCTATTTAATTTTGGTATGTAGAAGTTTAGGGTAACTCTAAGCCCCAGGAGCCCTCCTGAAAAAGTTAAGATTTTATTAATAGTCACTCAGTTGGGGTCTGTGCTCATTCTGTCTGCTAAGAAAATGGCCTGCTATAGCCTCTGTCCTCTCCGGAGTCTAGTACCTCTCCTCTCTAAGCAATGCCTGGTAGCTAAAGTAGTCAAAGAAAACTCATGAAAAGCAAGCACAGGGGAGGGGGGAGCGGGGAGGGAGGGGAAAAATGAGGACCTAATGTCGGGGGTTTAAATGGAGAGAAAATGTTTTGAGAAACGATGTACAAATGCG